TTGAAATGATTCATTAAGATTATGTTAATCTAGGTAGAATATGTACCTTTTTCTTGAGTCCACTGCTGTCGGATCTTTGGTTGTTCCAGCTTCAGACAGGTAGGTGAGGAGACTGTCAAGTTTAAGGTGAAGAGTGGATAAAGCATCAAAGTATGACAGCTATTGCACTGAGTCAACAACGTCAACATTTTCCTTCTGGAAGAATTGGGACAGCAGTGTCACTAGTCGCATGGCATCCATCACCATGTGTGTGATAGAGATAAATTCTCACAGCCAATCTGAAATTTAATCCAAACCAGTTTTTGAATTGACTAAGGTTTAGGGTTTTGGAGATCTACTTTTTCTGACCAAATCATGGATGTACTCTTTCACTTCTTTGTACAAGGGTAATGGTATAGAGATGTAGTTCTGTTGTACTGGATCTGGATCTTTAAGCCTGATTTCTAAATTCAAGTCTGTTGCATAGCCTATGTCATCTTCATTTCGTGAGAATGCACCTGATTCTTCATAGAGAACTTGCTTGATCTGTTCAGCTTATGTGATGGACAGACGGTTGTCGTCAAGGTTTACTGGTGGGTAACCTAGCCGATATTTAATGAAATGCTTCCTTAAACTTTCCGTCGTGAGTATTGATAAATAAATTTCTGGTTGAAGTAAGGTCTTGAAAGTTCTATAATAAGCATATCGTGAACTATTTTCTAAAGTGGAATGCCATTCCTGATGAAACATATTAACAGACCGAGTTCTAAATTCATTAAGAAACATGTCTACACTTCCAACTGACTGACATATCCATATATACCATAACCATTGGAAAATAGAAGATTCCTTATATGCGATGTTATAGTACAGGAGCTAAGCCAGGAAAAAATAATTTTGTTCAACACCTTCTACATAAAAGGTCTGACTACACAGTTTGATCCAGGAGAGCCTACTGAACATTTCTAGGTACTATGTAATCCCAAATTATAGGGTAGGTAAAAAGTTAGAGGCATTTTAATGGAAGGTACCCATTGTAAAAACTATGTTCATTTTATAGATACATCTGCATCGTGAGATAGATTCAACATCTATAATAACTGTTACATATGTCACAGCATTATGAAACAAAGCACATAATTACTTCAGTGACCAAGAAAGATTTCTAATTGTAGAAGATTACTACATAAGACAAAAGGCAGCCAGGACGGCCATTTTGAAAAATGGCCGACATTTGGCAAATTAACCATTCTGAAAAGGGCATGGTACATACTAATTATGACCTGTGATTGGTTTTATATGTGTAATTCACACATACAACTGAGCACACTTAGTGTATTTGAGTGTTTTAATAATTCCTTGATGTAAATCCAGTCAAGACATAATATCTGTTTGTCATAATAGACATTTTACATAATGGTCGCCATTCACCACCTAGTTTTTATCAATGAAATATATGGCTTGACAACGAAGTACTTCATTAACATATACTGTTTTGTTCATGCATTTTACAATACGTTTATGGTAATGCCATGTTTAACGCATCAACAGGAAATTAGCAATCTAAAGGTTTAGCATCAGTAGTAAACTTCGGGTCAGAGTCCAATTCTTTTATGAATATTTGGAATTGCGTCACATTTGGTAAGGTATCTGCATATGTATTCTATAAATATATAGAGACAAAATGTACAAGTCTTTAACATAGCGTTCCTTTCACATTGTACAATGTTTAACACGTCTGAATAACTGGACTCTATTCTCTATCAAAATCACCCATCCCTTGTACTTGGATTATAACACTCATCTTCAGAAATAAGCACCAGTGCAAGATAGTTCAATGACACTACATGCATATGTTGTTGTGCAATTGCAGGATGTCAATTCCAACAGTCCTTTGAGTGGGGGATGCTTTGTCATCAACACAGGCTGAATTAAACCATCTTTTGTCTCCCAACCATGGCCATCAACAGCAGGAAGATCATGCATGGCTTGCAATGCCCTTCTCCAGACATAGACTTGGTAGTTTGCTCGTTTCATGTGCTGGATAAGGCTGTTTGAGGTTGGCGGTAATCTTTCATTGTTGAGTTGCTTCTTACAGTAAAGCCGGTACCTGACACCATCTGCCTTCTTGTCAGCCCTGTCATCAACTGTATAGAGAGCACAAATGAATTCCTCACAAAGATAATTCTTCCCCTAATTCAAGGGATTCACCAAGCTGTGCTAATCTGATTTGGTGTACATCACTGTTCAGTAGAAAAGGCAATGTCTTTTTCTTTCCTAGTCCTGACAGTGAACTGGTCAAGTTACATCCGGTGAGTACATGCAGTGATGGACCTAGCGCTTTGCAAACGTTCGGTCTTGATTCTTGAGCAAAGAGAATGAACAGGTACAAACCTCAGCTTGTCTATAATGCCTGTATGGAACCGAAGTTCTTGACACTCGAGATCAGCAAAGAGAAACGTACAAAGCATAGCAACATCTGTATCTGGTGACTGAATCACAATCCTCTGGTTTTCAGAAGAAGCATGTTTGGCATGTAAGAGGAGCCGAGTGTCTACTTCCTCGTGGTCTGATGTCAGATACTGGACATCCTCATAATGACCCTTTGTTATCAGTACACCTATTTCTCCATCACTGAAGCCACAACCCAGTGGCTGTGGGGTTGTCTTGGCCAATACGTGTCAAGGTTTCTGAGAAATCAGAGAGGTTCTCTTTTTGTTTTTAGGGTTGTTGATGTACTTCTGTCACTGTCTGGGAGTTTGAGTTGTTGGACAGATACACGCTTGTATCAAACGGGCTGAAGTGTCCTTGGGCATCACAACTCCAGTAGCAATGTTGATAAGAGGCATTGTGTCACCGAATACATCATGAAATGATAACAGATTTGTCATCACCCCTGATGCCAAGCATGTAATTAACTGCTGGACATCATCTTCATTCCGCTTAAATCTATTTGGAGCTGACTCCTTGTGTGTGCCCGCAGTCGCTGCACGTTCACGACATGTTAGAAACCATCGTTCTTGTACTTCCGTCTCTTTAGTTATTCCAATTATGACCCCATGTGCTTTGTCTCCAAATTCACAGTTTGCTCAAGTGCCATATCTGTCCATGTCTGGGCAAACGGTTGACAAGATCGTCTGATTGCATGGTACCATTTATGAACTCTTTATGCAAGTCTGGATGTCTCTCTGATAGGAGGTTCATGTCCGAAGGGTACACTGGTAACCATCTTGTGTTGTTCTGACTGTCCATAACAATGAAATATGGAGTCAGTGCAGCAGTGGATGATAGGTGTAGTGACCAAATACCTGTCATCTCCGCCTTGATGAACTGAAGCCTTAGCTAAACCACTGGAATGTAATAATCCCAAAATGCATATGCTTGGCTCTTTGTTTACATCTGATTCTGGAAAGTGGTAAACTGGAGAGTGACTGTTTGGATTTCATCTACAAGACTTCAGAACTGATTCTTGAAAGTCATGACCTTCCTTTGCAGCATCTTGGATGGCCATAATTTTGTCAACACTGGATTATTCATTAGCAACACATTTCCCCTTGTTAATCAGCCAGATTACAAATGTTTGCCATTGTAAATGAAAAAAGGGATTCCATCAATAGCTTGTGACATTGAACTCCCTGATTGTGGAACTTTCCATTCAGAAGTGCAGTGACTGATCCACTTGTATAAACAACACTTTCAATGAGAAGATCTGGATACCTGATTCTTCATGTCTTTACCCAAGAGTTTGAGGATGTTGGTTGCAATGTGGAACCCACCAATGCGTATGACAGTGTCAGAAAACTCTTTCTGACCTTTGGATTTCTTCGGCTTTTACATTGATTGCCAGGTCAGATGTAATGACACTGTCATGCTGCTGAAGGCTGGACATCATGGTCTGAACTGTCTTCATTAATGTATACACAGTGCTGAACGCTGTAGAAGCGCCATCAATAATCGGACAATAACCAACGTTGGTTTGTGTAGGAACAGTTGAGTGTACATAGCATGGAAACCACGCCAATGCCAGATTCAAACTGCAGCTTAATGTTCAGTATTAGTCACAGTATCATAATCTGCTTGCCTCACATAACTGAGCGTTTGCCGTGAGTGCTAAACTCCCGCATGTTCTTGCACATTCTTGTAGACTGAAAAGTCCGTTTCCTGTGAGAGTGATCAGCATATACCATGCATGGGGCTGTTGGACCAGACTGACTTTTCTGACATAGAAACATGGTTGTAGAATATGATGAGTGTTTTCCATCAAGTCTCTCTTCAGTAAAGTCATCTGCAGCCTCTTCAACAAAGACACCAGGTACGATGTTGGTTGGAACAACACCATGCATCTCAGATTTGGCAATGATTTCCTCAGCAAGACAAGTGTCTATGATTTCAGCTTGACCGTATGAAGCACAGTGTCCCATTCTGTTCAGCATTGTGATCATCTGCTTTGAGCCTGTAACGTGATGAACTGACAATGTTCCATCACATTTGTCATGATCCAGGCAAGGGACCAGTCATTATTCACATGTATATATACTATATACTATCAGAGACATATCAGATTGTGACAAACATCCATTGTTAAAAGGTTTAAAAAATGCTAAGACAAATATTTTTATTTACTCGAGAATATTTATCATGTTTTCAAAATATGATTGAGGTTTTTTTTAACATGTATCTAAACGATTATTAAGAAAAGTGTTTTGGTTAATATATTAAACATTTTCTTGCAATTCGGTGTATTATATTGTTACAATCATCCTTTTCAATTGCCATTGTAGCGATATATACATAATATTTTCATTTGATAACTAAACAGAATATTGAAGATTAAAATGTTGGTGGTTTTCAGAATTTCTTTTCAAGAATACAAGATTTTTTCAAGAAATTTCATTTTTTTTGTCATCTATATTTATTTGGTGTTAATAAAATTAAGTGATTTTGCATAATCTTCAAATAAACTTCACAAAATCATATAATGATAATGAAGATGCTCACTAAAAAGAAAGTCCTGGGACACAATGTTGCACCTTCTCTCGAACATTTGCCTGCATTTTGCTATAGGGGTAGGACCAAAGAATGACCCCTAACTTTTTACCTACCCTATAATTTGGGATTACATAGTACCTAGAAATGTTCAGTAGGCTCTCCTGGATCAAACTGTGTAGGCAGACCTTTTATGTAGTAGGTGTTGAACAAACTCTTTTTCTGAGCCTCCTCCTGGACTTAACTCAGAATACAGCCTTGTCTTAAACCCAAAGGACAATCAAAGAAATCTGTTTCACCCTCCCTGCTACGAACACATGACCTCACATTACAATATATTGCTTTTATAATAACAAACATTTTCCCCGTAGTCCAGCTTTCCGAAGACATTTCCATAGCTTAGAGCGGTCAACCGAATCAAAAGCTCTTTTGAAATCTACAAATGCTACAAACAATTTATGCTTTCGTCGTGACAAAGTCTTTTGGATAAGTGCATGAAGAGTAAATATATGATCTGATGTTGAATAATTCTTTCTAAAGCCAGCTTGAAATTCAGGAATTTTATCACGCATGTTCGCCCATTTAGAAATTCTATTATTTAGTATTGTTGTAAACACTTTTCAAGGATGCTCATCAAAGAAATACCCCTGTAGTTGTCTGGGTCATTCCGATCCCCATTTTATGCAGTGGAATTATTATAGAACATGACCAGCTGTTTGGGAAAATACCTTTCTCAAATAGCTTATTAAAGCATTTGCCTAGAAAAGGCATAACTAGAAACCTGGAACACTTCAACATTTCAATAATTATATCGTCTGGGCCTGCTGCTCTTCCTTTTTAGGTGATCTATTGCACAGAATATTTCGTTTTCATTAGTGGGTGAATCTAGCACTAGTTCATCAGCATCAGTATAGCTAGCATTCAGTAAAATCATTTTGCATGTCATCAATTTCCATGTCTAATATTGTTTTATTTGAAAATACCTTCTTAAAATGACTAAGCCACTGTGTTTTTGATATGTTATCCTTAGCAGGGGACCGATATCCTTAGCAGGGACCGATATTTGAGGGATCGTATTTCTTTCCAGAAAGATGAAGCGTTGTTCATAGAATTTACCAATTTGTCTTGTTTACGCCTACGCAAATCAACTTTGAATTTCCGACAACAATTCTTATATTTATTCCTACTTTCGCAATATTTCTTTCGGTCAAGACTAGCACGAGTTATTCTAAATCTTCGTAGTACCTTGCGGGCGTTCCGTCTTGCAGTTCTGCATTCAGCATTAAGTGAGGTCTTTTCATTTATGTTATATTTTAATTCTTTTCCCATACAAGATGATGAATCCAGCATTTTTTGATCAAAATCATCAATTGCCCCCTCAATGTTATTATCAAGTTTATCGAAGAGTAGGTGTGTAATAGACGTTATACTTTCATTAAGCTTATTCAGATAATTGTCAGATAATTCGTCATTCCATATTAATTTGTTTTTAGTGACGCCCTCGGATGTTAGCTTGTTAATTGTTTGATTCATATTGGGGAATCTACAAGTCAGTTCTAGAGGTAAGTGATCAGAGTCCAGACGAGCGCCAACATTCAGCATGTCAATATAATCAAAGAAATCGGGAGAACATATAAAGTAATCATTAACGCTAGCACCTTGATTTCCACAATGGGTAAATTCTCTCAGGGTATCTCCATACACTCTCCCATTGACAATGAACAGCTGGAATGTATACAACATATCTAACAGCAACTGGCCAAATTTGTTAATAATGGTATCATGAGATTTCCGATCTCCAACAGATATGTTTTCATCTTCAGGAAACACACAACTACTATGAACAACAATCGGCGAGAGGATTATTCACTTCACCTGTACGAGCATTCATATCTCCACATACCACACTAATACAATCCCTAAACTTCGACTGATTATCTAACAAAAACTCTTCAAGCTGTTCAATACTACAGTCTGAGCTCACGTGGTTAAAATACGACGAGCCAGCTGGTGGTATGTATGTACATAGCAAGTTTACACTTTTATCAGTTTTAAGTAACACTTTAGATATGTTCAAGCACAGGAGGTTATGAACCTCGGATTCAATCATTTTACAAAATTTGCTTACTGATTGATGGACACATACACACACACCACCTGAGAGCCTGCCGTAGTCAGATAACTTTATTGCTGGGCTGTAATAGATGTCATAATCAACTAACCAGTCACTGCCAAATCCTGCAGTCGACAAAAGTTTCCACAAGACATATTATTTGAAATTGTTTTAAGTACGATATAAAATCATCGTCAACAATTTTGCTTCGTAGACCGTTAATGTTCCAACAGAGGAAAGCGAATGTTTCGCCGGGACAGTCAGCGTTTACTGTAGCACCGGTTTTAACCGTGTTATGTCCTTGTGGGTTAATATCCGGGCCTCGGCCAGTTCCCTAGCTAGCAGACACGTTTGCGGATGATTTTCCGAGCGATCTTCTTGGTAATGGTCGTCTGTCTCCTTACGTTTCTGTAGTGCCAGACATCGCCGAAGTTGGTGTTGTTTCTACTGTGCGAGGCTTTGTTATCAATCGTCCATCCTTGAAATACCCAAACTTGTTGGTCCCCTTAAGCGCCTGCAACTGCTGACATTGACGTGACATAAGATCACTCGAAATTCCAAGTCCTCCTTCCTTGAATGTTGGTCTCGCTTTCAAGGCACGAACTTTGTCGTCAGACATATGTAGCTTTGCAATCATTGGGCGAGGTCGTGTTGCATTTTCACGTTTAACGACAAGCCTGTGAGCCCGTATGATGTCCAACGACTGCCACGTTTTGAATTTAGCATGTTTATTGAGGACAGATAGCACAGTGTCTTTACACGCCATTGATTTTTCATCGCCTGCTGCTTCAGGGATACCGTGGATGAGAATATTGTTACGTCTGCTATATGACTCAAGTCTGTCCAGTTCATCATCCACTCTTGAAATGTGATCAAACAGAGCGTCAACCTTGCCTGAGAGTGCGTCGATGTCCTCATACATGATATCATGGTTTTGTTTCATGGTGTTTAGATAACTATGAAGTTCTGTAATAGAACATTCCATTTTTTCACACTTTGAATTTATATTGCATACATCGTTCTTTAGCTCTGAAATCTGAGTACTTAAATATGATTTAGCGTTGCGTATTTCAGATTTCATGTCCCCAATTTCTGTAAGTATTGTTGCCTGTACGTCTTCAAGAGTTGTTGGTCCCGGGTTTGTCTCTATATCGTTAGAGAACAGTAAGAGCTGTGTTATGACCCTCATGGGAAGCCCGTCGCCCCCAAGGAAACATTTTCCTCGTGCATGTGAGGCAAGGTTGGATGACAAAATCTGGGTCACAACACGAGTTGGTGACGTCACATGAAACACAAAGGAATGTAGTTTCTTTCGGCACAAAGTGATCAAATTCAAAATGCAAAAGTGCACATTGATTACTGACGAGTAATGCTGACAGCGATAGGTGTACAGTGAGCAGCAAAGTACATAGAATAATGCGATGCGGCATATCGGAGCTGTACTCTCACATGTTGTGTATGGCGTGTACCTGTCAATGTGGCTGACTTGGCGGGTGCCGGGTGGGTGACAAAAGTCCCGATCCTTGCCCTGTATGTGGCTAGATCCTCCATTTTATGCTCAGAACGTATACGCAGAGTGTTCACTCATCACCACATACCATTTAGAGGTTAGTAGTTTCCTTTTATGTTGATGTTTAATACAAATTCACAAAGACTACAGGAATGCTGTCGTGTACTTCGAAGGGACGTAACTGATGTCATAGAGCAAGGTGCCAATTTCCTCATCCATGCTGGTGGTCATCCTGGCACGCTCGCCAAAAATATGTAACCCACCCTGGAATATAGGAGGAAAATGTCAAGACAAGTGATCACTAGTTTATTCTTCCAAAAGCGAACATGGCGGGGACACTCTCCGAACATCATAATGCAAAACTACATACATGTACATGTCCATGGACACGTGCGCAACGGCTAATATATTGATAAAGTTCACACATATGTAAACCTGGTTCAGGGCTTGGAATTACTTAGCAGTGACAATGTGGCCTTGTTCTAGCATAATGATATTAATACTCCAACACATTTGGAATAAATCTCTACTTGTAGTATAATAGAGGAAATATTTACAGCATAAATATTTCTTCAAGAGAAATTCAGTTTTACATTCAGTTTATCAATGATTTGCAATAAGTGTTGATTTGTAAAAAAAACAACAATCAAAATATACTAATGAACCTCATATTCTTTACTGGATGGTAGCATGTTTTCATAATTAGACTCCAAACAATTGTTATTCTACTGTCAGAAACGAGTTTTGAGATGTCTGAGCAATACCGCAACCATATTCATTCATACACCGATTATCTCCCTTACACGCATAAAATGTATGGTAAAGAAGTTTTACGAATGCTTAATTTCCTAGCTTATTCAGGTAACGCCAAATTGTCAAAATCGTGTCCATGACATGACCAAATAATTTAGACTTTCAGGAAAAGTAATAATACATCCTTAAAATACATTTACAGTGATATACTGATGATATACACACTCTAAACCCAAAATATGTACTGAAACAGACCTTTTGCCAATGGCGGGAAAAACACAGGAGATAGCGTTATAGCAAAATCGCTAAATTTACAGTACACACAATTTCAGGTTACATAACTTATATACATTTGTGTTCATCAACATGTGGCATGAAAATGTGCATTACAGTGGATGCAATAATGTCAGAATTACCTGGAATATAGAATGAAAATGTCAAGACAAGTGATCACTAGTTTATTCTTCCAAAAGCGAACATGGCAGGGACACTCTCCAGCCAATCAGTGGCCTGGATTTCCATCGATGCAATAGTCTCATAGTTGTTTCCCTTAGACCATGGACAAGTGAATTTCTATCAATGTGGCTGTCCCAGAGTTACTTCCCTTAGACCGTTGACAAAGTGAACAACGTCCGATAGGATAGATAGTTATATTACACATATGTATCTGCTATATTCGCCAGTGACAAAACATGATCATATTCTCACACAGGCAGATATATTTTCCACGGACTTGAAGGAACACTTGTTTCCTTGTGATGTTGTAGTATATCAACTTGTAGTTGGAGTAGGCAGATATGTTTTCCACAGACTTGAAGGAACACTTCTTTCCTTGTGATGTTTTAGTATATAAGCTACTAGTGGGAGTAGATATGTTTTCCACAGACTTGAAGGGACACTTCTTTCCTTGTAATGTTTTAGGTATGTAAGCTTGCAGATGGAGTAGGCAGATATGTTTTCCATAGACTTGAAGGAACACTGCTTTCCTCGTGATGTTTTAGTATATAAGCTTGTAGTGGGAGAAGGCAGATATGTTTTCCACAGACTTGAAGGAACACTTCTTTCCTTGTGATGTTTTAGTATATAAGCTTGTAGTGGGTGAAGGCAGATATAATTTCCACACACTTGAAGGAACACTTGTTTCCTTGTGATGTTTTAGTATATAAGCTTGTAGTGGGGAGAAGGCAGATGTGTTTTCACACACACTTGAAGGAACACTTCTTTCCTTGTGATGTTTTAGAATATAAGCTTGTAGTGGGAGTAGGCAGATATGTTTTCCACAGACTTGAAGGTACATTTCTTCCCATGATCATGTGACTTGTTAAAAACGGTGGTGACCATAGATACAGCTATAAATCTGTCCTGAAACGTCAGGTCAATTTGCCATTCTGAAGTTTACTGAAAAAACTATGATTTAGGGTAAGATATTATCGTGGACACCATTTATTGTTCCCTTCTACCTGATCTGTTTCATTTTGTCATTTTCGAAATGTTAAAGCAGGTTTAATTTAAGACTGTTTGACATAGAGGAAAAAAATCAGCTTTCGAATAGTCACATATTCCGTTATGTAGTGTTCTATTGCAAAAGGCACAGCCTCCCAGCTTCTAGGCACAATCAAGCAAAAATCTTTGTAAACATTTTAAAGATCGTCATACGACTCTCGCTCATGAGATGACATCTTGGAATCAACCTGTGAGCAGACTCTTTCAGTGTTGTCACAATCCCTAGTGTACAGTACACAGCCCTGTTCACTTAAAAACCCACGAATCCGTTGGTAAATGACCAGACGGTGGAATACGTGTAAACACCGAGTTGTGGGTACAGCAACGTGCAGTAAACCTGGACAATGTACTATGACTATGTGTCCCAGTTCACCCAGCTGTGAATGGGTAGTCGTAAGGATGGGAAAGCCACATTAACTTGGTACGCCTAATGGCTGTACGAGTGTATGTGTTTACTCAGTAAGGGAGCTACCGGCCCATTATACACATACATATCAGAAGGGTTTAAGATATGACATGAAGCGTCATACAGGTGACGGAATGGATACAGAGGTGTAATTGTAAACAGAGATGTGAACACAAGATCAGCATGATGCAAAATATTTCGTTAGTCTTTTCATAGCTAAAGATATATATCTAGCAGGATTATTTATAACAATACTATTTTGAGAAGTAAACAGTAGGGCTAACTTGATTTAAGAAGGATATACATGATAAAAACGTGGTATGAGACATGTTTTTAGATCGTGATAGAATGGACATTCAAGGCAAAAATGGTATTCAGATTCGATCATTGGAATGATACACAAGGGACACAAACGCTCGTTGCGTATAAGATTTAAACGTCTTCCATATTCAATCATTAACATATGATTTGAACAGCGAAATCTACAAAGGGCAACGCAATATACCTTCACATTTACAGCACTAATGTAATATTTCTTCTGACACAGTCATTTTATCAGTCTGAAAATATCTAGTTTAGTATATTTTTCAAGATCTGAGTCCCACCTTTGAAGATCAATATCAATACACCTCTGCTTAAACTGTATCAGGAAATTGTTTACATTTGTAGTTTTTTGATCAACCCAAACATGTCCAAAACCATGACTGAAGAAAAGTTTCTTTACTCTCAAATCAAGATTCTTTTTCAGCTAAACGATACTGATATTTATATACTTTATACAAAATAATATTTTTATCTTGACTTATTAACCTAGATCAGTATTTCACAATTCTATAGTAAGTATTAACCTTCAAAGAATAGTGACCCTTTTCACAAAGTGCAATGCTACTCGGAATAGTAACAGAGAGGTGAAGTATTTGCTTACAAAACTTGTCATATTTTTGTATATTTGGTGAGGGATGATAACCCCAAATTTCTGAACCATACATGATGACAGGAAGAATTTTAACATGGAATATATGTAATAAGACTTTCAATGGTAAATTTGTTTTGTTTTATAGAAGATCTGACAATAGATAGTAATTTCCAGGCTTGTTCTGCTAAAGTGTTTTTAGTTTGATACCAATTTCCAGAGCAAGAGAAATGAACGCCAAGATATTTATAGGTACATATGATGAAACTATCTCTGAGGGGTTCCTTTTAAAAAGATTTTTTCACATTTCCTAAGTCTACCTGATTTTCTAAAAACAATAATTTTAGTCTTATCAAGGTTTACTTTAAGTTTCCATTTATTGCAGTATGTGCTTAACTTATTCCTCTGCAGCCCAAGAACCGTGCCATCAAATAGAACAATGTGGGCAACGAACAGCAGATCTAAATCGATAATCTCTGGCTATTAGCAGACAACTAGGTCATTAATGAAAAGGAGAAACAAAATGGACATAATTGACATCCTTGACGTACTCCATACATACGCTCAAAAAAGAGGTATAACCTGTTTTAAGTGAGACATTATGACTTTTATTACATTTTGGTACATATTTGTAAGTAAAGAAAACGTCTTTCCTTTCACATTTCAAGTAAAATAAACTATAAACCCTTATATACTCTCAAGCTGCACGGGAAGTCTGTCTTCCACATGCACTAGGCTGTTGTGTTTGGGCGTTTGGATCAAACCTCTTGCTGGTGTCTTTCATCACCCTTGCTTTTCGCAGTTTTTAACAATGTCTCATTTAACTCAAACGCAACGAATATTGAATCAGTTGCTTCACTGCAAGTTCTAACATGTCATCTAAAGTGTCCATTAAGCACACAAAAAGTTGCATTTACCTTAGAGTATAAATGACCTCATCAAGTTTAAGTTTATATATGACTATGAAATGTTAGGGTGTTCCCATACTTTTGTGTTTGTAGTATATAATGATAAGTATTTATTATCGACTGTATGAAGAATAAATATATCATCTGTTGTTTGGAAACAATGTCTAAATATCTGCTTGCTCTGGGGTAAAACACTCTTCTTGCTCACCCCATGCGCTGTATGAGCTGATAGTGTCCTATCGTGTTGACCTGAGACGTGACATTCTGACAATTTGATAGGATAACCGATAACCCTCAGTTAGGTCACGTTGTGACGGAACTACTTTCATTCATTCTACAACATATAATAATAGTTTATATCAGTACACGGAGATGGAGCTGCCTAGTCACGTGACATTCCAGGATGCATTTGTGGGAATGTAAACATTGCGAACGTTGCAGTGTTGCTGTGTAATTGTGAGTCGAACTGAGACATTATATCCGTCGAAAACATAAGCATAATGTTCCACCAGTGATGTTAGCCGAGTGAAGTAACAGTTACTGAAAACAAAGAAACGGTGTGCTACAGAGTAGGTTACTGTACGAGGGCTGTACGAAGCGATGACAACTGGCATGTATCGTGTCTTCGGTTGCCAAGGGAACGTTTGATAACGAAGGGGCAGACAAGAATGGTGTAGTGACGTCAATACAGTGTGACGCCATGCAAAAGTAAGAAGAAAATTCTTCCGCAACCTCTTTGTGAAACCGATTTCGGTTTGAAACCATAGAATTAGCCAAAATACACTATTTTGTCAATTTTATGCAGGTAAGACGTGGGTTTAATAAATAAAATACCATACTCGGTCCCATTACGAAACTCGTGACCTTCCTATGGTATCTGACCTCGCTTTTGTATGATTATGACACTCGTTTCGTCTAATTCGTATATAGGAAGGTCACGAGCTTCGAATAATTTGTCGATATCGGATGGTCAGGCTCGCTGACTTGGTTGACACATGTCGTCGTATCGTAACTGCGTAGATAATGCTCATGCTTTAATCACTGGATTGTCTCGATTATTTTACTGACCGCGGCCATATCACTGGAATATTGCAGAGTGCTGAGTAAAACTAAACTCACTCACTCACTCGTATAAATAGTATGTAATGAGACCTCGTGTAGTATTCTCTATGTATGTACGTACGTATGTAAACGAGAATACGTAGTATATATGCCAGGTCAGAAGTAATGAGCTGTTGTAGAGAGGACAGGCCAACACACGTTAAAACCCAACCTTGCACTTTGTCCTATGAAAGTATTTATCTGAAAATGAAATGCGTGTCAGTGCTATCTGTGTCAAGGCACCGTGTAATATGAACATGTATTGAAATTTACTGAATATCTGGATTATTAAAGCCACAGTGAAGATCATGTAACTTCAGAAAATGTGAATGGCGAGTAAGTAAGGAGAATGTGAAGGACTTGCAAGTAGTTTAGGTTCAAACAAACAATATGTTTCCCTCTGCATCAAATCATCATTTTTCATTTGCCACATTTCTAATTCATTTTTACACCAACAGCTGCACTCAAAGCCTTCAAAACCCTCAATAAAAGCTCAACACGTTTTCGATATTTGCTGCATCAGCAGTTCCATTTATAATTTTCATAAATATCAAATCTAAATTGCACAGCTAAATCATCGGACAGTCACGGAGAAATATATACATCCCACTCGTATGTGCTTCGCACGAACAATCCAGATCGTAAAAGGTATGGAGAGTTACAGATAGCTGATAAGATTCTACCCGACCTTTTGACGCATGTGTTGGTTGTCAGCCAGGACGCTCGACTTTCAGTATTACTGCTGTGTCATTGAGTCTTTGAAGGGCATTTAGAAGTGATACACATAAAGACAAGACTTTTTATGGATGACAACTTCATTATTGTGAAGGGTCACGACGTTTTCGAAGCAAATTCTTATGCCTTCATCAGGTGAATCAGAATATTACTCAAAACAAGTTAAGGGTCATGCGATGTTATCATGTAATGTTATTGACGAGGCTGGTTGCATTATGCATGAATAACATTTTACATTCCGTGGAGACCCGTGAAGATCCGGGGTAGAATAGGTCTTCAGCAACCCATGTGCTTGCCATTAAAGGCGACTATGCTTGTCGTAAAGGCGACTAACGGGATCGGGTGGTCAGTTTCTCTGACTTGGTTGACACATGCCATCGGTTCCCCACTCCCACAGATCGATGCTCATGCTGTTGATCACTGGATTGTCTGGTCCAGACTCGATTATTTACAGACCGCCGCCATATAGCTGGGATATTGCTGAGTGCGGCGTAAAACTAACCTCACTCACTCACTAACATTCCGTGGATGGTATTTTATCCCAAACCATTGCAGAACCTGGATAAAGGCTGCAGATAACCGTGGTGCCAATAGTCATCATGTGGTAGGGTGTTAAAAAGGAACAAATTAAAACATCGAGTGCTTCACAGAAGCGCCACCACCGTGCTTGTGGAAGATGATGTTTCATCATGAACAACATTTGCACGTGTTCTTCGTGGGATTATGTCTGTGCATGCTTAGTTTCCCTATAAAACTTGTGATTGTCGCAATGTTATTGTCACTTGAAATTCAACAATAGCAAGACGTCAACTGAGCATGACAGACCCAGAGGTTGAGCTTTTGCTTGGCTTCAAGATGGCGAACCTCAATGCAGGTGTGGCTCAGAGAGACTAAATGTGAGTCAGAGTGTCATTGGAAGGTTATGGCACCGGTTTCGTGTCATTGGAACGCTGAATAATCGACCACGATCTGGGCAGGTCTCCATCAACAACTCCTAGAAGACCGATACCTGACTAATATGACCCTCCCACACCGCAGAGTAACTGCCAGACAACTCTGTGAACAACTGAGAACTGCCACAGGTATCCTGGTATCTGATCAGACTGTCAGGAACCGACTGACGAGTAACAATCTTCGGGCACGGCGACCAGCAGTACGACCACCGTTCCTTCAGCGACACACGACGGCAAGACATGACTGGTGTAGACGCAATGTTCGTTGGCAACGTGCTCAGTGGGCATCAGTTCTTTCTCCGACGAGTGTAGGTTTTACTCTACAGTTCAATGATGGTAGAACTCGTGTGTATCCGCGTCCAGGAGGGATCTTTGCTGACGTTAACGTCAACCAACGTTTGCCATATGGAGGCGGGGGTGTGATGGTTTGGGGTGCGTTTTTCCTTTCATCAAAGGACACCTCTCTATGTCATTAATGGTAACCTGACCGGAAATCGCTATCTACGGGAGATTATCAGACCCCTTGTTTTGCCATGTTTACAACGTATCGGCGTCGGATCCATATTCCAAGATGACAATGCCCGACCACACCGTGCCCGTGTTGTGACGGACTTCCTTATATAGAACAATGTTCAGCACATGGAATGCCGGCACATTAAGCAGATTTAGTCCCTATGGAACATGCTTGGGACGAGTTAGGACGTCGGCTTCGTAACAACCACTCCTCTCCAAACAACGGTGTAGACCTGGCCCAGTATCTCATTGCAGAATGGCAGGCAATACCCCAAGGCTTCTTCCAACGTCTGGTGAACAGTATGAGACATAGGTGTACTGCTTGTCTTACTGCTCGAGGGTGGTTACATCCGTCATTAGTCCGATGTTGGCGTTTGAATTTTCACTTCTGACAGTAGGTCACTTTGACCTTATTGATCAGCAATTACGGACATTCCTGCTGTTTTTGTCTGCCGTTATGGTTATCATGAAATGTTGGCTCGAGTTGTTATATGATCGCTACATTTCACTGTTATTTATATTTGTAGTTATGGCCATTAAAAGTTTTGACCCTTAACTTGTTTTGAGTAGTATACTTCGAAACGTCGTGACCCTTCACAATAAAAAGTTGTCATCCGTAAAAACTCTTGTCTTTTTGCTGTGTCATTATCCCCAGCTCAGTAGGTACACATATACGTGGGGAACACGAACGAGCAGGCTGACGACAAAATGGTTAAATCAAAGAAGTGGATACTTGCTGCAGAGTTTGAAGGAGAGCCAAAGGACTCCGACTTCAAGCTTGAAGAGGAGGAACTGCCTGCTTTGAAAGACGGAGGTGAGAATATTGCATGACGAAGGATTGAGATGTGGGTTAGCGTATAGCTAACTGGGTGTATAACGGTGCTCGGCGTTGTTAATGAATTGTCGTGTTATTCATTGCCTCTGCTGTTGCTTATACTCAGGTTATTTAGTTATAAATTGATAATGTTGCTACTTGATATCGGTTACGATATTGAGACCGTTCTGGGGAAATATTTCATTCTGCGTTTGCTTAAAGCATCTTGTTTGTAGTCTACCATTACCACATCGGTGTTGTCATTTTTTTAAAAATATTGCACTCACTCACTCACTCACAGTATAAACGTGAATTACTGATGTGTTTGTATTCGTATCCCTGTACCCCGACAAACAAAGCAAGAAAGCCCTATCGAATCACTTGTGACGAAAATAGCCTAGTTAGCTACAGCGAAGATCCTGGTTCAATACAAGGGTAAAATGTGTGTAGCCCATTTCTGCTGTTCTTGTTGGAATATTACTGAACTATTGCTAAAAGCAGCGCATAACCATACTTACTTACAGGTGTGATGGACTTGTGTATGTGTGTGAACTTGGTTTCGTAATACTGAACTTGGTTTGAAATACAGCAAAAGTCAGGTTAAATTTGAACTGGCTCAATATATACTGTGGATACCCAGTCCTGTCACAAGCGGGAAGAGGTTCGTCACTCAGATAGCCAATCGCCTCAGTTTCTGCCCTGATCATATGTCTATCACGGACAGATCTGAAACCTCTATTCAATTTAGACCAGACATACTGACTGGGGGTATTTGTATACACGTATGCGTGGTGGTATTTGTATACATGTACTTGCAGCTGGATACAGGGCAGGGGTGATTTGATTTGATTGGTTGGTTGGTTTGTTTAACACCACACTCAGCAATATTCCAGCTATATGGCGGTGGTCTGTAAATAATCGAGTCTGGACCAGACACTCCAGTGAGCATCGATCTACTCAATACGACGAGTCAGCGAGCCTGACCACCCGATCCCGTTAGTCGCCTCTTACCACAAGCATGGGTTACAGAAGATCAATTCTAACCCGGATCTCCGCGGGTCCATGGTTTTATGAAACTAGACTTCAAAATACAGACACACATTAGGATTATCAGCTGATTCCTGTCAGCCTTACCCGGATCTTTACGTGTACCTCGATGATTTGAATAGCTAGGGTGAAGGAGACCATAAGTGGTGAACTTGTGCCCAATCCCTTAATTTGTCTTTTGGACAATACGATATGTTTAAAACGTTTGAATAGCTACTTACAGTGGGGGCGCGGTGGGAGAGCTGTGTAAGGCGCCAGGCTAGTGATCCAGCGAGGTTGAGGTGTCGGGATGGAGCCCACCTGTGACCGGGTGTAAAACCTTGGATTCAACTTTTTTTCGTGCAGACTCTTTCAGTGGTGTCACAACCCCAAGTGAACAGTACACAACCCTGTGTACTTAAAAAGAACCCACTAATCCGTTGGTATATGACCAGATGGTGGCCACATGAATACGCGCAAACACCTAGTTGCGGGTACAGAAACGATGCAGTGAACTTGGACAAAATACTGTGACTATGTGTCCCAATCCACCCAGCTGTGAATGGGTACCTCGTTAGGATGAGAAATTCACAATAACTCGGTGCGCCTAGTGGCTGCAAGAGTTGTAAACTCCCAGGGAGTTGAGATTGATAATACGATGTGCCGTTGAGATTGACATCCAATGATCGAGGAAAAACATACCAGCGCCTTGAGCATGCACTAGTTACCTGGGTATGTGCGCTATATAAATACCTTATAATAAAAATAATAATAATAAACTCACCCTCGTCGTGAGGGGCGTAAACCAGACAGAATATCAATTACATTGCGGCTGCGTGCGAATCTGGGACAGGTATGTCACTGTGTAAGGAAATTGAATTCGTTACAGTCACGTAAGAGGTATCTCAACAACATAAGTGAACCCTCACCAACGGTGCTTGATCCAAGGTATATCCCGTTGTGCATATGCAGTGTTTCCGTTGCGCCAACAGGAGCTCGGTCATCAGTTATGAACAAAAGAAATCGACTTTTGACGGACCAGTGGACCATCCCCATGACCCCATCCGTTCTCGATACTCAGCGTGCTGCTTTATGATCTGAGTGAGTGAGTGAGTGAACAGAACATAAAAACTGTTTAATATGCCCTCACCAAACCTTGCACATAGATAGGTCTGCTGGTGAACTTGTGCCTTCTGGAAGTTATTATTTTCTGAGTAAAATAATGGCAAAGGAATTTGATTTTGACTGAAATTGGTGGTAGTGCTCTTTTCCGGAGCAGAACTCAAAACGTTTTAATACTCTCATTCCACTTTGTGGGTATTCAAGAACCTAATGAAATAAATCAACAGTACCACTCTATCTCCTGTTTCAACATTGCTGATGTACATCAAACCGTAGAAGCACTCCTCAGGCAGTATGTTGTTGATACCAGCACGCCTATATATGAGTGAGTGAGTTTAGTTTTACGCCGCACTGAGCAATATTTCAGCTATATGGCGGCGGTCTGTAAATAATCGAGTCTGGACCAGACAATCCAGTCATCAACAGCATGAGCATCGATCTGCGCAATTGGGAACCGATGACATGTGTCAACCAAGTCAGAGAAACTGACCACCCGATCCCGTTAGTCGCCTCTTACGACAAGCATAGTCGCCTTTTATGGCAAGCACATGGGTTGCTGAAGACCTATTCTATCGGATCTTCACGGGTCTGCTTGTATATGAATAGTTTATATATGTATGTGTTCGTTAGATCAATATGAAAGAACAATGTAACATTTGACATAGTGATAACTATTTGACATATTCATGAAGCGTATTTACCACTGCGGGGGATATTGATGACATTGTCTTCTTGGAGTTAGGTTTAGGGTTGGTCATTTACAATCAATATTGATATTGATGACATTGTCTTCTTTTGGAGTTAGGTTTAGGGTTGGTCATTTACAATCAATACTGATATTGATGACATTGTCTTCTTGTTGGAGTTAGGTTTAGGGTTGGTCATTTTACAATCAATATTGATATTGATGACATTGTCTTCTTGTTGGAGTTAGGTTTAGGGTTGGTCATTTTACAATCAATATTGATATTGATGACATTGTCTTCTTGGAGTTAGGTTTAGGGTTGGTCATTTTACAATCAATACTGATATTGATGACATTGTCTTCTTGTTGGAGTTAGGTTTAGGGTTGGTCATTTACAATCAATATTGATATTGATGACATTGTCTTCTTGTTGGAGTTAGGTTTAGGGTTGGTCATTTACAATCAATACTGATATTGATGACATTGTCTTCTTGGAGTTAGGTTTAGGGTTGGTCATTTACAATCAATACTGATATTGATGACATTGTCTTCTTGTTGGAGTTAGGTTTAGGGTTGGTCATTTACAATCAATATTGATATTGCTGACATTGTCTTCTTGTTGGAGTTAGGTTTTAGGGTTGGTCATTTACAATCAATACTGATATTGATGACATTGTCTTCTTGTTGGAGTTAGGTTTAGGGTTGGTCATTTACAATCAATACTGATATTGATGACATTGTCTTCTTGTTGGAGTTAGGTATAGGGTTGGTCATTTACAATCAATACTGATATTGATGACATTGTCTTCTTGTTGGAGTTAGGTTTAGGGTTGGTCATTTACAATCAAAATACACTGTAAAATGTGTTTAAATATAATTTTAAAGGAAACTTAAACGTACAAATGTAGAGCTCATTGGGATATGGTTAACGGAGATAGATTATTTTTATGACTATACAGTTTGGCAGACTGACGTTTCACGAGGTACAATTCAATAAGAGGAAGGTGTGATAGCGGCCTTTTCTGAGCCATAGGATCAGCATAATTTAAGAAACATTTTCAGTAAATCTGAAATCAAAAGTGTAAAAGGAAGATCAGGATTTTTTTTCATTTAATGTTTAACAACTATCTGATTTATTGACCATACAGTTATCTTCTCTAGGATATATCAAAGATTATTTAATGAAATATCATAGCAATTCTAGCAAAAACACTTTCGTCGATATTCTAAAGACATATACTCATGACAATAATGGTTGTCACCCCTTCAATTTTTTAATTGGAGAGGGTGTGTGAGGTGTATTATGTGTGGGGGTTGGGGTGAGGAGGGGGGTGATAGCCATTATTGGCATGAGTATATAACGAATGAAATGTATTAAATATTTCTCTACTTAGATGTTGATCATGATGTCAGACACTTGATTATCTATTCCTCACTCGAATATTTACAGACATGTCATCGGTTCCCAATTGCGCAGATCGATGCTCATGCTCTTGATCACTGGATTGTCTGATCCAGACTCGATTATTTACAGACCGCCGCTATATAGCTGGGATATTGCTGAGTGGGCGTAAAACTAAACTCACTCACTACAGACCGCCGTCATATAGCCGTAATATTGCTGAGCGCGGCGTAAAACTAAACTCACTCACTACAAACCGCCGCCATATCGTTGAAATATTGCGGCGTTAAGCAACACAAGGTCTTTCTCTGTAGATTATAGATCTTTATGAAAACATGTTTCAGAATTCATCTGTGATGCAGTGTATCTTAGTGTGGATCCGTACATGAGGTAAGATCGCAAGGGACTAATGATTCTCTTAGTTACTTTATTTGATAATGTTAAACTACGCTACTTCCCCACTACAAGGTTCGAGCTCTTATATAACATTACGCATACAAAGCTTATAGAATGGATCTATGAAAAGGTCACACATGCATAGCATTTCACGCTGAAGGCCCGGTTTCGATCCCCGGTGGAGGCACCTACGTTCGGGTCCCGAGGTTGGCACATTTGCGTAGTATCCTTGGACAAGATACTTAGATCCACATTGTCAGTTCACCTTGCTCTGATGTAGGGCTCCATCCAGGGTTCGGTTGAACTTGAGCACCCTATGAATTTTAGTCAGCTTCATACCCAGCAACAGGTACAGCTGCAGGTTGCAATAGTGAACGATGTACTTGGTTTGGTCATCAAGTTGGGCACGAGTTTTTCAATGTTGGCCGGCTTATTACCCCCAGCAAGTTCCGTTGGCAGTCAGACATCCAGTCTGGGTTCACCGTCCGCCAAACGTTCGGGGAGCTCAGCGGGTAGCCATTGTGTGACTTGCGTAATGCTGCTGGATACTCCAAGTCCACTTCGAGTATGTAACCCCCTTCCCCAAATCAGGCGGTATGCTCATGACGTCTGTCTCAGGCATCCACTTTGAATCCCCGGTGGGTAGATACTGGCTCATGGCCCAGCCATACAGGTTGTTGGCATCAAGGTAGAGGATGTGGGTGGTGGGCTTGCTAGAGTCATAGCCCTTCACGTACTCATTGTTGGCTTTCGCGTAGCGTTTAGGGGGCCATGGAAATCCCCGCCTCGCAGTCCTTTCTCGATGACCAGGTGCATGTTGTAATCGGTGAGGAGTTCTAGTTTGACCCCGGTCTTTTTCAGCAAGACATCCCAAGAGAGACCGGCTGGTGTAGTACCATGCGGGATCGAGTTGATACTGCCTGAAACACGTCTTTCTGAACGTCTCGAACATGTCAGCCAGCAAGAGTACGTCCGTTCTCAAGTACAGGTCATGGTAATCACCCAGGTTCCTGAAGCCCAGTTTCTCCCACACATTCTGAGGCGTGGTCGTAATCGTCCTGGGTGATGGCCGAGTCGGTCAAGTTGCTGTAAAATCGGGTGATGGGGGTAGTCGTGTCTCGGCGACCTTGTCCCAGCTGTCCCATGTACTCGTAGAGGTAAACACCCTTCCTCATCAGCAGGGGTCGAGTCTCGGCGTCGGTGTATGGTGCAGGCACCGTTCGCAGAAGTGTTTCTTTTTCTGTGTGCCGATTGATCGTACAACAGCCTGCTGAAGTGTTTTATCCACACGTAGTTGCACTTGTCACCTCGCTGGATCATGAATATATTGATCACGCAACCCTCGGTCACCGGGCTGATCATGTGCACGATCGATTTGTTGCCTTCATGCCCAAAGACGTTGATGGCTATGGGGTTCTGTTTCTCGATTTTGAAGACCTGAGATATGGGGATGTGTTCGTCTATACCATCCCAGTTGAGTCCGTCGTCTTCGGGGTTGCTTGAAGGTCTGTTTGAATTAACGTCGGCCAGAAACAAGGCGGACCTGATAGCTACCCTCATGCAATCGTCTCCTCTGTTTTTTGACGTTGACCATGGCTTGTTTTTTCTTGTAGTAGGGGGTAAGTCTAGGTACGATCCGCCTCTGAACGGTACGTAGTTAGCTATGTCTAGATAGACCTTATCGATTTTGTCCACGGCCCACCCGGAACCCCTGTGCGTGTAGCGTTCCAGGTATTCTCGTATTTGCTGAAGCGAGGTGTAGATGGACGCGTCTATCGTCTCGGGTTGAGTCGCGACTTCTTGTTTACCTCTGAAGTAAGGCTGAACGTACTCAATGGCACCTCCGCCTGCTGTTTATCAAGCAACATTTTCACCGTGATTTGAAGTTTGAGACTTCCCAGGTCGTTCAGTTCCTCATTGACTTTGGCAGCGATCAGAGGCTTGAAGTCATCAATGTTTATGTTTTGGTCTACATTCATCCGCCAACCTCTCAGATAATTACCAACCGCTGGCGTTCAGTTTGCACGAACTGTAGATCGACAACTCTGTGTTGGTGCAACAGTCCGACGAGCTCGGCTTTCCTCATACAGGAATAACCCGTCAGCCCCAGCTTAGAGTTTGAGTTGTTTCACCGTGGGAGGGTTGTATGTCGAGCAATCTCAACAGCTGAGGTTTCCTCATTCGGGAGTAACCGGCTACATCTCGTTTTCTCGCAATCTGCCTGAGCTCTCGGACAGTAGACATTGTTATACTGAGATGTAAATCCAATCTCTAATTTGGCCACCAGTTATAGAGGTAAAAATGAAGCCCAAGGCCTAGACCCGCTAAGCTCTATTTAGATAGATCCTATCGATCCTGTCCCGGTTTACCATGTAATCTCGTATTTCTCGCGAGGCGTTGACATGCACATCTATCATCATGGGTTGGGTCACCACTCTTTGGCAACCTTTTAAGTGAGCTCGAATGTGTTCCTCCTCTATAACAAACAGTATTACCACTGTTATTTGATAATTGAGGCATCCCAGGACGCTCAGTTCCTCTTCGAATTTGTCAGCAATCAGAGGGTCGGCGTCTTCGATATCTATATTTTTGTCTATATTCATCCGCCAGCTTATCAGATATACACCTATGGGGGTGGTATAGTTCGCACACACTGTAGATCGGCCAGCTCTCAAACAGTAGTCATTGTTATACTTAGATGCGGACCCGATCTCTAATTGAACCCCGGTTATGGAGGGTGGTGACTTCATTCTGAGGAGGCGCCTACGTTCGTTTATGTAGTCCTTTTTAGTCATATGGGTACCTAGTTTAATTGCTGTGCGATCAACACAGTCGCTGCTAGGCCCAGCATGACGAAGGCCAGTTCTCGGTCCTTTTGCCCCGGGAAGGCGTAATACTGAGAGAGAGTTTAGGGTTCATTGAGAGGTTTGAGCTGTTTACCGGTGAATGAAATTGAGTCTCAGCATGCGTTTTCTCGCGTACTTGGTTTGCGCGGCTTGTAATTTCTCCACGTTAATATCGTGGCGTTTTCGTTCCGCTTCTACCTCGGCTGCGTTCGGCTCCGTAGTTTTGAGAAGAGGTAATAGCTCCCGGAAATGCCAGGGCGAAAAACATACCGTATTTGTGGTACAACGCGCGAGCTGACGGCGCCCAAAGCATGTTCGATAAAGGGATCTTTCTCGAGATCCTCCAACACGTAAAGTCGACGTTCGGGGAATGGGAAGGAAGTACGATGCTAAACCGGTGTAGATCTGCGGCATGGTCGACCCTATAGTTTTTGTCATTTTGGCCCCGAGCCAGGTTTCGTATCTAACGTACAGCTTATCGATCTCAGTGATAGTTTCTGAACTTTATCTGGGCGTAGTCCCCAAAGTATTGTTTGGCTTTGCCACCGACCACCAGTGCCACCAGTTTCTCGCTTGTCGCTTTTATCATCAGGCACCAGCTTGTCATCCGGCAACAATTGTTTGAGCAGTTCGTTGCACTCCATCCTATCATGGATTTGCCGACCCAGGCGTTGAAGTCGTCGACGGACCCGACAGTAACTTTAAGTGATATCGTCGATACCTCAGGAGCTGTTAGCAACACTCGGTACGGCCTAGTCCGCAATGGACGAGGACGAATGGACGATATACCCAGCGTTCGGTGGCAAACTGTTCCACCTAGACGACGTCGAGACCACAATCGTCACTCGAAACAAGCAGTACAGCCTCGTCTTCACTGACGGCAACAAATGTGGTTTGGTACAATCTCGAACCGACTGGTTTCTCAACATCACTCTCAGCTCTCCCTACGTGTTCACAGAAAACAAAGACCACTACCTAAACAAAGTCGTGAACAACGGAAGGCTGCTCGTGGCTTACGTCCCAGCACAGAGGCGCACCGTGGTCGTGGAAGCCTTGTCGAGTCTTGATGTACTCACTCACATACTCTCCAGCAAACCAGCCAGCAAAACGGTGGATTGCAAAAGTGTCTGAATTCAACAGCGAGGCCAACATCGTGGAAAATATACCAGAGAATTCCACGCTGATCATCCAAGTCTATCTCGGTGAGCCATCATCATCGAAGTCATCGTGAAGGAATCAAACTCGGTGGGCCAAACAACATCAATATCATGTTTGTTCTGTTTACGTGTGGGTGAAAGTCGATTTCCACACCAGTCTAGTCACCGTGACCATGGAAGACACGATATCACTCACCAAAAATTTTCCTACCCGACAACATACATTTCATGGGGTTAAAGTGCACACCTGAGAAATTATCAGAAAACAATTGGAAACTATTTTTATAACATTTTATATAGGCGATGAACAATCATCTTCCCAACGTCACACTCGGTGATCTAGGAGACACAGAGGGATTCGATCTGCCTGGTGAGGAAAACACCTTGTACGTCCTACATTTGAAAGACAACATGTACGAGCGGGTGTCTCTGACAGACTTTCAAAAAGCCCGAATGGTTGATCAACATAACCCTCACCACACCTTATATCTCCTTTAAAAAAAATGGTTTCGTCTCGAAGTTAAGAACAACGGTATCATTCTCACGTCTTTCATTCCGGCGGATAATACCCAAGTTATACAAATACCAGGTCACTCATGTTAGCTCCAAATGATGAATTTGCATATTTAAGGTCGAATCACCCGATTACCAGCGGGGGCTTTCGGTTATGGAGCCAGACACCACACTCATCATAGAACTCTATCTCGGGAACACTCGTAACAGGGCAAGCCCTTTACAGGGGTTGGTAATAAACTGGGAATACAGGCACAACTACCAACGTTGCAGTATCGTCGTACAACCAGGATCGGCCCCCTTAGTAAGCCTCGAGGGGGTCTGTATTTCGGTCCAAGATATGCCTATAAATGCCTCAGGGATTACCGTGGATGAAAATCTAAACCTTATAAGACTCAAATACACTGATAAGAAATTAACGAAAAACCAATTAAATTAATATCTTAATAATCTATAATATATAATACACAAACACAGGATGGGACTGTACCCAGTCGTAGAAGAAGTAGCAAAACACTGGAAACCGTAGGTGGATTTCGGTTGAAACAGTTATGTGACATAAAACATGAACTAGAACAAGATTGCGACATACGGGCAGCATTATGTAAGAAATACCAAAGGGCTTTCAATTTCGTGGATGGGGCCGATACCACCCTTATGACAACCAGCATGGGATTAGAAGCGGTGGGTGTCGGGTTGCTGACCACCATCGTGGCTGCACCTATAGTGCTAGGTATTGAAATAACAGCTGGGATATCAGGGTTGGTGGGGTTGGTGTTTAAGTTCGCATCTCGCAAGTTACATCGTAAAGCATAGAAAACACGACGAAATTAGAATTCTAGCTGAAGCAAAGTTAAACACTGTAAGCGACCACATTTCCACGGCACGCACGGACAGTAAAATCTCAAAGGAAGAGTTTCGTTTGGTCCACTCTGAACTCACAAAAGATCACAAAATGAAACAAGTGATTCAGTCCAAGTCTCGTAAAAAGCACTGTCATCAGCGAAGGAGATGCACATTAAATTGTTTCTGCTGAGATCAAAATTATATAGGTTATACATAACCGAGTGACCAGGATGCTGGCTGGGGATTCAAAGTGGTATATACAATAGCAGAAGAGATTAGGGCCTGATAAAAAGCTTTATTTATGAAATAAAAGCTTTACAGAGGCTTTTGGCAAAGTGACCTCGTACCCCAGTGTATATACTACTAATAGAGTCACACATGAAGAGCCTACAGAGTGGATCTCTCAAATAGAGTCACACATGAAGAGCCTATAGAGTGGATCTCTCAAATGGGAGTCACACATGAAGAGCCTACGGAGAGGATCTCTCAAATAGAGTCACACATGAAGAGCCTACAGAGTGGATTTCTCAAATAGTCACACATGAAGAACCTATAAAGTGGATTTCTAAAATACAGTCACACATGAATAGCTTCCAGACTTTAGGAAGAGATGATCCACTGCAGTTAAGCATATATTTGCATATATAGAGTCACACATGAAGAACCTATAGAGTGGATCTCTCAAATAGAGTCACACATGAAGAGCCAACAGAGTGGATCTCTCAAATAGAGTTACACATGAAGAGCCAATAGAGTGGATCTCTCAAATAGAGTCACACATGAAGAGCCTACACAGGGGATCTCTCAAATACAGTCACACATGAAGAGCCTACAGATTGGATTTCTCAAATAGTCACACATGAAGAACCTATAGAGTGGATCTCTAAAATAGAGTCACATATGAATAGCTTCCAGACTTTAGGAAGAGATGATCCACTGCAGTTAAGCATATATTTGTCCAGGTGCCCCAAACCTAATGTTCAAGTTCACGTTATTAACAAGTATACTTATCTTACATCACACATAAATGTCACTTTCTGATTGGCTGAGAGCGCTTCTATTATTTTCAATGTACCCCGCTTACAAGCGAGGTACATTTCAATGTACCCCGCTGTCAATGGCAACTCATTTGGTACTTCGTGGTAGTAATTCTTTACTCAAATTACATTGAATCACGTAGGATGTGCTCATTTGGTACTTCGTGGTAGTAATTCTTCACTCGAATTACATTGAATCACGTAGGATGTACGAGAATTACCGATGTTTTGCGAATGAGATAACTCTAAATCTGTTTTTCTTGTCTGCAAAATCTAGCGATGGCTACAAAAGATTTTTACCCGTGCTTAAAACAATTCGAAATTAACATTAAGGTGTTTGGTAAGATAAATTTCAGGGAACATAAACACACATCGAGGGTACATCAACGCATGTCCCCTCGTGACCAGTGAACAACTTATAATATATACCTCACCCGCATTGTATTTTGTTTTCACTGCTTTTTCAGGTCTCGTTCTTACCCTGTCGGGAGTTGCATCATCGGCGAACAGGTAGCGAGGTAAGCAACTTGGTGATATCTACTGAACAAATTTGTGTTGCGTTGATTTCACAAGACACTCGTTAGCATTAATAAGCGGATAGATTTGGTTAAATGTAGTTATTATAGTATGAATTTTGCCAAACGCTCACTTTTGTCTAGATTTATGAAAAAAGATAACAGGGGTATGCAGATATAGTTCACTATTTAGCATTTGTTCCCAGGGTGTCGGAGAGTAAAAACAAGGACTACCCCGTCGGATGCCTGGTCCAGATGCAATCGGGGTGGCGTTCACGTACACTGGTCGACCCTTCAAAGCCAAAAGACTTGGAAACCATTCGTTTCCTCAAAGTGCCCGATCTTGGAACACTGGAGCCATCTCTTGCACTGGGAATCTTGGGGATGCCAGGGTAGGTGTTCTCATCAACAGTGGATTGGTTGGTTTGTTATTTAACGCCGCACTCAGCATTATTCCAGCTATATGGCAGCTGCCTGTAAATAATCTGGACTAGACAATCCAGTGATCAACAGCAAGAATACAGATCTACGCAACTGGGATACCATGACGTGTCAACCCAGTTAGCGGGCCTGACCACCCGATCCCGTTCGTCGCCTCTTAAGCACGGGTTACTGAAGACCAATTCTAACCCTGATCTTCACCGGTTCGTCAGCTGTGAATAAGGTGTTATATCAGTGATTGTGTGAAGCACTACTTTGCGACTGAGTGAGTGAATCTGCTCAACGACATTGTCATCAATATTCAAGCTATATGACAACTGCCTGATATATAGAAGCTCTCTAAATAGTAGTCGATAAAAGGAGCAACGTCGGTGAGCGCGATGGCGCACAGTCATAACGCCGATCTTGATAACCCGATTTGTATCAGCTTTATTCTTGTTATGATTTCAGTGACCTTGATAGTGAGTGAGTGAGTGAGTATAGTTTTACGCCACTCTCAGCAATATTCCAGCTATATGGCGGGAGTCTGTAAATAATTGAGTCTGGACCAGACAATCCAGTGATCAACATCATAAGCATCGATCTGCGCAATTGGGAACTGATGACATGTGTCAACCAAGTGAGTGAGCCTGACCTGCTGAACCTGCTGAACTTGATACCTCAGTTTTATGTAGCCTGTGGTTGAGTGGGTGAATGTTTTTTTAACATTCAGCAATATTCCAAGTAGGAAGGCATTTCCTATTCTCACGGTACTTACGGAGATCGGCTGAAAAAATAACACAAACAATTCTTATCGTATTCATGCTTGTTGTTTTTAAATGAAGGGCCTTCTTGTCTAACATCTACATCTATCAGCTGCCAGATCCATCAGGTGAATTACCACTCGTGAGCCCGGTGATAAACAATGTCATTCGCCATTGTTGAAACGAAGCTTCTCCGATTCTCGCGGTATTACCAGGAACTAACGTTATTGAGTGTATGTAAGAGCAATCCTGCCGGAAAGTGACACTGCAAGATTTTGATCACTCACAGACTTGGGCCACTTCCTAGTTTCCAGTTGGTGATGTAAACAACGGCTAAGTGTCGCGCATCGGCGATTTCGGCAGAAAACGTGTTTACCGCGAGAATAGGAAACCCGCGAGAATAGGAGACCGACCTATATATCATAGAAAGAGAGTCCGGACAACTAGACAAACTAGTGGTTGATATCAAGACAAACGTCCAATGTCGTCGAGTACGATGACGTGAGTGTTAATGTCAATGAATGTGCCACTTGGATTCTATTTGAACAGCGTGAACATCCCCAGGTTGTGATATTTTGATTTCAGGATGACAGCCTACTTCGGGTTCCTGGAGATCTGTCAGCCAAAGGCTGGAGAGACTGTACTGGTTAACGGTTCCGCGGGCGGTGGGCAGTGCTGTCGGACAGATCGCCAAGATCAAGGTGAGAATATAACATATAACACCAGTGTAATAGACTGAACTGCCATATATCACAGGGTCGCTCTTCGTTGCCGAAGTGGGCCCGTGAAGATCCGGGTTAGAATAGGTCATCAGCAACCCATACTCGTCATATGAGGCGACAAACGGGATCGGGTGGTCAGACTCGCTGACTTTGTTGACACATGTCATCGTATCCCAGTGGTGTAGGTCGATGCTGATGCTTTTGATCACTGGATAGCCTAGTCCAGACTCCATAAGTTACGCTATATTCCTGGAATATTGCTGAGTGCAGCGGTTAACCATACCAGCTAGCGCAAGCTACTTTCTCTGGCGTCGGGTATAAGAACTTTAGCACAAGCCTAACTATCTCTAGGCATTGCTGGACTTTTACGGGTCCCGGGTGGTATCTACCGAGTTACTTCTGGAGTTACGTCTTATGTCAGGAGTAGTGCCTCAGAGCTCTTTGCTGCCTTACTAACCAAGCTGAAGTTCCTGGCTCGAGAGGGTCAAAGTAGTTGCCTACGAGGTGATAACTGGTCACACAACCGACAGTCTTTGCATCTTGACGATTGCCTGAAAATGGTTTTAGTTATCTTCAGTAATAGCGGTTACACAGAATGATGCTTAGCTAATCAGATTGTATATTTGCTCATGGTTTGTGAATCAGCGATGCCTTGTTTGTGTAAATTGAGATCATGAGCCCCAGATCGCCTGTCTTTAGGGACCGCCCCCTTCCCATATTTTTTAATCATATTTTTTTTAATAGATTTAGGTACAAAATTGCTGGCCCACCCAATTCATGTTTACACAATTGCTGCCCCTAACAAAATGGGTGACCCCTATTAAAATCATCATCAACATCCATCACCCGCACCCCTACCCCAACCATAAATTTTAATCGGTCCCTTAGTTACAGGGCTCCCTGTAAAGTTTTGAAATTTCTTTGCATTTAAGTGCATGTTGTCAAATTAGCTCAGAGATACTTTATTTTATTTTCCTTGGAGAAAATACGTTTTTCGGTTACTTGTTCCCAGAACACAAAATGCTTTGCGTGCAGGAAACGCAGGTCGAAAATATGGTGCGTGAAATGTAGATCTACTTGCATGAACGTGGCTTTTGCGTTAACGCGAACACTGAGAACTGTTCGGAAAACCAATCGTTTTAACGTCGTTTGCAGGGGTGCAAGGTGATTGGATTTGCTGGATCAAAGGACAAATGTGATTGGGTGAAGAGTCTTGGATTTGATCACGTGTTCAACTACAAGGAAGTAGACATCGACGAGTCCCTGAAAAAGGCGGCCCCCGACGGAATTGACTGTTACTTTGATAACGTACGTACAGCGTCCACCTATTGTCACATCCAACGCCAACCCATAGTCAACACACTGTATCTACACAACCCACCTATTGTCAACATACTGTACGTACAACATCCACCCATTTTGAACATACTGTACTTACAGCACCCACCTATTGTCAACATACTGTACTTATGTGAACATATTTTGAACATATTATCTGTAAATATTGTGAACAGCACCCACCTATTTCTGTATACTGAACGTATAACAACACCTATACGAACAAGGATAAAATATATTTAACATACTGCATCTACAACACCATCCAGTTGCCAACATACTATAGTACAACATTTTTCTATTGGCAACATACTGCAACTACAGCGCCTGCCCACTGTCAATATAATGCCGCTTCTCGAAAACGTGCAAAGACTAACATTGCAACTCTTGTTTGCTTACTGAAGATACACATTGTATATCACATTTGAACAAAAGATGAACTGTCCTTTGGTAGTATCTGAAAAAGACAAAATGAAGTATGGTGGTGAACGGGCTTGCAACAGGGTTGAACAATGACTGACGAAAGCAGATCAGGGTTCATAACTAATTGAACCATAGAAGGGCTGAAAACTAATTGGGCTGTAGAAGACCAGAGTTGAACACTGATTTGGCAATAGGAGAACAGGGTTGAACAGGGTTCAACACTAAGTGGGTAGCGAGTGAGTGAATAGGGTTTTACGCCACATTTTTTGTAATATTTCATCAATATCACGGCGTGGAACACCAACCCTACCAGCGGATTAGGGCCATGAACATTAGTTGGACAGGAGAAAAGGGTTGAAACACTAACTGGGACGTAGGAGAACAGGGTTAAACACTAATTGGGACGTAGGAGAACAGGGTTGAACACTAACTGAGCAGTAGAACAGGGTTGAACACTCATTGGGCAGAGTGTGTCCATATTTGAACAGTATTTCGGCAGTAGGGGAACAGTTATTAATTGTGCAGAAGATCACGCGTCATCAACATATTATGCAGGATAAGACCCGGGTGGTTAACAGTTGGGTAGAAAACAAGGACACTGTTAAATAAGGAGGCAAAAAACGCAGTTGGAGTTAATGAGGTTTATGATATTGGATAGTCTTCCAATAGTGTAGACACCTGGTCAATAACTGAAAGCTAACAACAAGCATATGATTTTACAGGTGGGAGGAGATTTCACGTCTACAGCACTTCAGCATATGAATATGTTTGGTAGGGTTTCTCTTTGTGGTGGTATCTCAGTCTACAATGCCACAAAGCCACCCATCGGTAAGTATTTATCGAGCAATACCCTACCCATACCCTCTTGGAATTTGTTGGATATTTGTTGAGATGTCTGTTTATGCATGTACACCAAACTCCTGCTTTGTTTCCAAACGGTTTTATGTCTATATTTAAACCCATGTAAGCCTTGTAGTCGTGTATGGTCCGAAATGTCGTGGTTAGTTTTGCACGTGGACCTGGTTCTAGGCCTTCAAACATTATCTAGACTTTGAGGACCATATCCAAATTAAAACAAAGTCATTTAAAATACGTGGCAAAATACCTGATATGTGAATCCACAGATGCTGGAGAGTCATTTTCTATTTGTCTATGACAGGAACCATGAGAGTTTGTTGTAACTTGACCATGTTCATGTAAAATTGCATCATCAGATAGAATGTCCACATCCTAGTGTCTCTTCTCTGAAAAGACAATATTTGAGTACGACCCGTACTATGATAATCAATTACGACATAAACATGACTATTCAATCATACTACTGGAGGAGAAACTTTAAGTGAAAACTCTTGGAAGGCTCTTATTCAATAATTGGACTTTTTGCAGGCTTTTATGTCTCTGTTAATACATATTTTGTACATTAGGTGCAGTCTCATTAATGTTCGTGTTATTTGTCAGCAACATAGTAAAAGGGTGAGCAGTGATGTAATGTGGAAGATGAAATCTGCATTTCCAACAGGCTTCCTATTTTCTTCTGTACATTCATGTGAATTTATTCTGTCTTCTCTCAGGTCCATATCCCTTCATGACGATCGTGTTCAAACAACTGAAAGTTGAAGGTTTCATCGTGTTTCGGTGGTGGGACAGGTTCTTCGGAAGGCAAGGCTGAAATGAAGAAATGGATAGATGAGGTAAGTATCTGAGTGCTAAAGTACGCCGCTTTTAGCAATATTCAAATATCATGGGCTTCACACATTTACTGGGGAATCGAACCCGGGTCTTCAGCGTGACGAGCGACGTTACCACTAGGCTACCCACCACCTGAGTGCTACTATTCAAATATCATTTACTTATAACAGCGACTGGCGCTTACAGTGCTTACAGTGGCGGAGGTCTTAAGTGAGTGAGTTAAAATTTAACGTCACATCGGCAATATCTCAGCCATATCGTGACGAGAACAATTTAATTTATATCAATATAAGAAACAAAAATTCAGAACATAACAAGAAAAATTGTGTCCAGGGACACGGATGCCACCGCTGCGTAGGAAGTGTTCCCTACACTGAGCGTGCTCTGGTGATTAATTTCTACTAAATAAATATCATGGTTGATCATAAAATAAATATATCCAAAGTGTCCAAGGTAAATACTTATTTGTAAATGTATGTCACAATGAACTTACCACAGTACAATTAAACCTATATCATGAAGGTTCATGGTACAAGGGTAAATAAACTAGCAATAGCAATATCACTGTGGAGGCAAGAGAAAGCAATAGATTGCTGTAGAAGCAAAAGTGGTACATTTTGGCATGTTCTGGAACATATTCAATATGGCAGGTTAAAAGTTAACTGTTCAATGACAAGATATTATTGCATACCTCACACTGTTTATCTGTTTAAGTCCATAATTATTTCCGAGGAGTTGAGATGGGCTTGTTTGTTAAAAACTGAGCAACTGAGAGATTTTTAGTCATAAAACAAAGATTGATCAACATATCTTCAAAATTCTTGACAAGTGATTCCATATAATGTTCGCTTTCCTCAGAGTTGAGATGATGTAACTCCTGAGGCTTGCATCCAATGACTTTGACCAGGTGTAAAATGTTCCATCTCTTCAGCTGCTACAAATGCAGACATATGGTGAAATGATCGGAGAAGTAGTTAGGAAGTATATCAACAGTGAACTGTTCATTGTGTGAAGATTTGTAGACATGGTCCAAACAAGATCCATAGATTGTTGTAGCCTTGGTTACGCACTGTACAAATCCAAGAGCAGTCATAACATCCTCCAGTTGTTTTCCCCCTAGGTGTCCCTCTGTCAATATTGAAGTCACCAAGCACTAGACATTAATTCAAGCTGCTTTCTGGCAGTATTTTCTCAACATTATTCAGAAAGTGACTGACATTTGAGATGGAAATCTGTAGAGGAAAAGAATGTTCTTAAACTTTGGATTGTTGTGGACAGATACAACAAGAGCTTTACAGAAATGTGTTTCTGATCTGTTATGGAGTGAAATGTCAAGTGATGATTTGTAATAGAGAGACAATCCATGTATGTTTGTGGAATGTCTTGCTGGTATATGATATGTTTGGTATTCAGAACGATGATAATTCTGCAGCTGATTTGCATAGAAATGGGTCTCAGAAAGGCAAATGATATCTCCAGCTGAAATCACTGGATCATTCTGTATGTCCAAAAAGTGTAGTTTGGCAGATCAAGCATTTAGCATGGTCACTTGGAGAGTGTTGGATGTACCAGACTCAATTGTTGGAAAAGGGTTCTGTACAAGGGCACTTGCTTCCAGTCTCATCATTTCCTTTGTGACAACAGAGGAGGTCTTAATTTTATCCTTGCTGAAGTGAAGAAGTTTCATTCCAGACAAAGTCTTTGCCCGACTGAGAGCTACATAGGCTTGACCATATCCATATTTCTTTTCAAATGAAACAACAACTTCCTCCAAAGTTTGTCCCTGAATCTTGTGCACTGTACAAGCCCAACACAAGCGTAGTGGAAACTGTTGTCTGATAACATGCAGATTAGGTTTGGACCTTGTAAGTGAAAATTTTGTGTCAATTGGCTGGATTGGTACAACTGATTCCTCATAATCGGGAAAGGTTGAGAGTTGTTTTCAAACGAGCATTCACACCTGTATTGGGGCTATCAAATTGAACAAGAACAACCACTGGCACACCTTTGTTCTGTTGCTGGTAAATGAAATCAACCACTGTCCCTTGTGAACCATTGACTAAGCCATCAGATACATCCAAATTTCTTGTCAGCATGATCCTGGCTCCAACTGCCAATCTAATAATCTTGGGCAAACCTCCAGTGAACTGCATTTTTGTTGGAATAGGAAACTTCCGAAGTGCTTCTGGTGCACTGTCCTTGGCAAGTATGTCTACAATATTTGCACCAAGTCTGATTAGCATTAGCTCATTATGTGCATCAACTTCATAATTTGTTGCAAAAATGTGTAGTGGATCACTGTCAATCCTCCAAAGTCATGTGGACTGTAAAATAGTTCACTCAGTCGTCTGTGAAGCTGCAGAAACAGGTCACTGCCAACCATAGAAATTTCATCAATGATGATAATCTTTAGATGAGCTAATATACACCTTAGAGTCTTCTTCTTTTCATCTGAAAGTCTATTAAATGAGGAATTGTTTTTCCCTTGGCCAAGAGGAAGACAAAAACCTGCATGTAATGTTAGTCCTTCAATGTTGTGAACAGCTGTCCCTGTTGGTGCAAGCAGAAGTGTCTTCACAGCTGATGGATCATCCCCTTCCTTCCGTAGGGTGATCTGTGTCATTTGATAGATTGCCTTGATCAGATGCGACTTTCCAGTCCCTGCTCCTCCAGTCAGAAACAAGTGTATGGGCTCTGGTAAAGTTCCTGACATTCTCTGTATACTGACAGATGTACACCAATTGAGAACAATCTGAAACACCTTACGTTGTTCTACATTCAGTGACTGCACATGTTGGCGATAGTCATCATCAGACCACATTGTTGGAAGGGATTCATAAGACTCAGAATGGGGTGTGTTAACTTCAGCGAGTGGGAGTTGTGTTCCTCTGTTAAAAGACAGTGAGTCTGGATCTATTAGAGCATGGTCTAGGTCTGGTTCAGTGCCTTCAGCAATCATATCATCATTTGCTTGTTGCAATTTAGGGTTCAGCAGATCCGAAGAGTTTGTAGGTATACCATTTTCAAGGAAGTCTTCTACTGACGCATCAATAAGTTCGGAGTATTCTTGTATGTGAGTCTTGTTTGCTTTGATTTCCTCAAGAGATATGTGATAACTGTCAGCATAGGTATGTTGCAACTGAAGAAGACTTTCTTTCCTTTCTCCATGGTTTGAACAGGAAGAGTTCTGAATGATAGTAAGATTCAGGGTTGTGTGTTACACTCAAACTTGTGGAACCTGATCATGGCTTTCTTTTTGTCTTTTTTCTTCATGTGTTGGGTAGAAGAATCCAACTGAACTGTGAAAGTTTCGGGAGCACATTTGACAAGTACGTCAAGGTTGCTTGACAAATCACTCTGTGATGCAGCTGTGTCCATGTTTGTACCATCTTCTAGGATATCAGGATGAATGTCTGGTTTGTCGTCAAATCTTGAAACTGACTTGTACCAGGAAGCAAACAGTGCTAAGCACCATGTCTAATGCAGCAGGTCTCTGAGAGTACTTGTCAGTGAGAGAACTGGTGAATATATCTTCACGTTCTTCTTCCATTGAGTCCAGGACATTAGTGGGCTTCAACAGACTAACCCTTTCATGTGGCAAGCCAGTAGCTATTCAGACTGTCTGAAAATCTGACTTATATAAAGGCAATCCTAGGACTCTGTAGGTTGCTTCTTGAGTACTAACTGACCGTGCATTAAGGAAAGCTTGGCCACATTTCTTCATCTGTTGCTTTATACCTTGACTTGATGCTTCCTTACTGACTGCCTGAAGAAGAGTTCCCATTTCACGTTCATCTTTGGTTATATAAGAGACCACATATTGTATACATGCATATGGATTGGCCGCAAACTGTATGTCCATATTTGCCTGCCATGCTTTAAGGATGTCTGGGTTATAATTGTTGATGCATGTTTCAGATGGCTGCCGTCTTAGGAAGACAGTCGTTGTGTTGACAGAGGTAAAAAGAGCCTGCTGATATTCATCTGTATTAGTAGAAGACTTTGTAAGCACCTCTTTTAGGCTGAGATTATCTATGTCTGGTTCTTCTGTCAATGTCTTCTTTACTCTTGAAAATACTTCACGAGATGACTTTTGAAGAGCAGCTTTTATTTCTGGTGAAATGCTTTCATCCTCAGGTGGTGTTGACAACAATCGTTTCTGAAAATATTTTCTTGGGAGTGAGTTTTATGGCTCTTTCATGTTTCCATCCAAATTTACCTGTAGTCAAAAGATGAGGAAATGCAAGCTCTTCAAAATGTTTGTCCATGAGAATATTTAGTGGCACTTTTCCTTCCCCTGTTGCAATGTTCAGAACTTTATCTATGTCAATTGTTGGATCAACATTCTGGACACACACTTCAAATTGAATTCCTCTAGTCTTGGACACAGGATCACTGGTGTAATCATCCTCATTCTCTGTTTCTTGTGATGTCTGCTGGTCTTTGTTAACATTTGTATGAGACCAGAAGAGCTTGCATTTCTCATCTTTTGACTACAGGTAAATTTTGATGGAAACATGAAAGAGCCATAAAACTCACTCCCAAGAAAAATATTTTCAGAAACGATTGTTGGCAACACCACCCGAGGATGAAAGATTTCACCAGAAATAAAAAGCTGCTCTCAAAAGTCATCTCGTGAAGTATTTTCAAGAGTAAAGAAGACATTGACAGAAGAACCAGACATAGATAATCTCAGCCCAAAAGAGGTGCTTACAAAGTCTTCTACTAATACAGATGAATATCAGCAGGCTCTTACCTCTGTCAACACAACAACTGTCTTCCTAAGACGGCAGCCATCTGAAACATGCATCAACAATTATAACCCAGACATCCTGTTACGGCAGGCAAATATGGACATACAGTTTGCGCCAATCCATATGCATGTATACAATATAGTCTCTTATATGAACCAAAGATGAACGAAATGGGAACTCTTCTTCAGGCAGTCAGTAAGGAAGACCAAGTCACAGGTATAAAGCAACAGATGAAGAAATGTACAAGCT